GAGTACCCTCTATATGTGTGCAGTATCTGAAGTACCCTTGTGTATTGCAACATGTTTCTCATCTTTTCACAGCAAATAATCACCTTTAAATTGAATTTTCTCTATGACCTTAAAAGGTCCCGTGGGAAGTATACTTCCCACCGCTAGAATTTAAATGTAAACAAAAAATTTGGCAAATAAAATATATTTCCTTAAATGCTATTGTTTAATTGATAATAAAACATAAAAAAACGGGAGAAATTCAAAAGAGAAATAAATGGCCCACGAAAGGGTTAAGCCTAAGACTGGAACTGTTAAGTGCACGTCTAAGTCAGCAGTTTTAGAAGTGGTTTTAGAAGTTGAAATAATGTTAAAAGATTTTCTTTACATTCCAAAATTAAATGGACAATTAATTTCTGTCAAAAATATTAAAGCAGCAGGTTTGAGCATAATTTTTAAATATGAAATAGTTTACATTGAAAACAAAAGCAAGCGTTTTCTATTTGGATATTTGGACAAATACAGACAATATTTTAGTGATTTTTCACCAGACCTATTTACAGCTTTAGCAGTAAAGAATGATGATTTATGGCACAGAAGATTAGAACACTGCTGTGATCAAAAATTAAAACTAATGAATCTTCCTGCAAAAGAATCCTTTTGTGAAGTATGTGTTTGTGCCAAACAAAGTGCTTTGCCTATAGGAAAGGGTTCTTGCATAAAAGAATCCAAACCGCTTATTAACTATACACACTGATATATGTGGTCCAATAGAACCTCAAACACTTCATGGGGAAAGGTATTTCATGACTATAATTGATGACTACTCGCGATTTACGGAAATCGGACTGCTCAAAAGAAAAGTGACATTGCTGATGAACTTAAACTATTTTTTAATTGAATACAACTGCTACAAAACTGCACTGTGACAATGCCAAAGAATATGTCAGGGGAGAATGGCATGATGTTGCTAAAACAGCAGGTGTAAAAATAGATCCTGCACCTCCCTATACACCTTTTCTAAATGGTGTTGCTGAACGAGCAAATAGAACTGTACTGGAAAAAGCTAGAGCAAGGATACTTGAGGCAAATTTACCAAAATTACTTTGGGGTGAAGCAGTGTGTACAGCTGCTTATATAAATAATCGACTCCCAAACAGTTCGATAGACAATCATGTTCCTTATTTTCTGAAGTATGGTGAAAATCCTGATTTAACAAGCATGCATGTATTTGGCTATGATGCTTTATACTCTTGTACCACTATCACAAAGAAAGAAACTAGATGAATAATTTGTCAGAATGATATTTGTAGGTTATTCCACAATGGGATATCGTTTAATGATTCCAGAAACAAGACGCATCATTGTTTCCAGAAATGTTAAATTTGATGAAAAAAAGAAGAAAGTGGAAGATCAAAAATATATTCCCGATAGTTCTGATTTGAGTGAAAATGACAATGATGACATTAAAAATGAAGCCAAATCAATTTCAGACACTGATAACGGTGAATTAAATGCTGCAAATAAGAAGGAGGAACAAAGAAAATCTTCAAGAGAAAAAGAAACAGCCAGTTAGGTGTCCTAATCCTGAGATTTACCAAGTAATGTTTGCACAGCAAGACACTGTGATATTTGAAGATATTATAAATCTACCACTAGTAGATCAAGAACTATGAAAAAGAGCTATGGACGAGGAAATGAAATCTATGGAAATTAACGACGTCTGGGACTTACAAAGTTTACCCCCTGATACAAGAGCCATTTCCTGCAAATGGATTCTACGTAAAAAAGAGATGGAACTTGCAAAGCCAGGCTTGTTGCTCATGGTTTTATGCAAAAGGAAGGTATACACTATACAGGCACGTTTTCTCCAGTGATTAGTAGGTACTCTTTACGTTTAATCCTGGTAATTATCAATAATGAAGGTTTGCAAACTTTTACTTTAGATGTCATGACAGATTTCTTGAACGGTAAGTTAGATGAAATCGTCTACTTGGACCAGCCAAAAGGATATGATGATATGAGTGGCAAGAAATGTAAACTTAAAAAGAGTTTACTAATTCAGAAGTCAAACAACAAAAATCAGCGTTATATTTACAAAATTTTCACAGGACTAGTTTCGATGGTTTTACCGAACCACCCCTCAGCTGCAAAACGCAATGAACAAGATAGGAAATAATGATTAGATAAGATCTAAGCCTAGACAAGAATAAGCAAGTGGCCGCCATCTTTGGTGAAACCAGAACTAAACATAATTTCTTTAAAGGCCGAAGGCAAATTTGGATTGGATAGGTATCGTTAACTAGAACAGAAAGATTTTTTGAATGTGTAAATGCCTCTAGAAAATCCAATTCTCCAATGGAACATGTTTTTTGGACAACAATTTTGGCAGCAAAAAATTGAAAGTGTGGTTTTGGACCAACAATGTGAAATGTATAAAAGTTTATATGGTCTTAATGTCCTCGACAATTACATTTTCTTAATTTTGACTATTGAATTAGAATTACAGCAATTGGTCTGAAAAATGTACAGAAAATCTAAATGTATGAAAGTAATTATGGCTCTTTATGTAGATGACTTATTAATTGCAGGTTCAGATGTAAAAGAAACAAATATTATAATATCATTGTTATCAAATGAATTTCAAATGTCAAAATCTGAAAAGGTCTCAGAATTTTTAGGCATTAGACTGAAATTTGAGTCTGGTTTATATTTAGATCAGAAACCATATATTGAAAAATTACTTGATAAATTTAAAATGTCTGATTGTAAAACAGCCCAAACTCCCATTGAACCAAAAAATCTACAGGCAGCTGATTTTCAGAAAGGAAATGCACTTCATGGGCCCATACAAAGAAATAATTGGATTCTTTATTTACTTGGCATTATATTACAAGGCCAGGATATTATTTATTGCAGTAATTGCTTAAGCCAACTGCAGGAGCAATCCTACTGATGTTGCCTGGTGTGCTCTAAAAAGAATTCTTCGTCTTGAAAAACACCTTAAATTTAAAATTGTTGTATGATCTTAAATTCACTTAGTGCAAAATCGAGTTAACGACTTGCACAATAGCTGCAAAGTAAGTTAATAATTAATTTATTTACAAAAACTATTGATTTATTATATTCCTAAGATTAATTTTAGTAGAATTATCTAAAAAGAGTGAATCCATAGTTATTAAGTTTAATTCCGAAAAGTGTTTTAAAGTAACTTTGTAAATTGTTAAAAATGTTTAATGGTGACTTGAATTAAATCATGAATAACATTGGAAAGGGCAAACTTATGTTTGTGTGTAGATGCAGATTGGGGGGGGGGGAGATACTCAAGATAGGAAATCAATTACTGGTTACTTTATAATGTTTTTAAACTGTCCTATTATGTGGTGCTGAAACAAGCAAAAGTGTATTGCACTTTCATCAACAGAAGCTGAAATAATTGCTTTATGCAAAGGTATTCAAGATGTTTTGTGGATAAAAAAAATGTAGTAAATGAAATTTCCAGTGTTAAAAATGTTTATATTTTTGAAGATAACCAGTCATGTATTAAAAGTATTGTTAATGAAAACTTTTCAGTAGGTTGTAACATATAGATATAAAATTAAAGTTCACTCGTTAGACTGTTAAGGAAAATAATATTAGAATTGAATGTGTACAATCAGGTTTACAAATTGCAGCTATGTTAACTAAGGCTCTGTCCAAAACAAAATTCTATGAACTGTTATCATTGAGCTGTTTAAAAATTGTGTAATTCTTTTATGTTTTGTATAATGTGCGATTAACGGGGAGTGTTGAGATATATCTAATCGCATTCTTACTGGTTAAAAGGAAGTATAGCTTTCTGTCACGTCCGATACATACATTAGCTTTCAGTCAGGTCCGAATTATTCTGAAACTTATCCCATTCTTTATGTTATTTTGATTGGTTATTTATTGTGTCTTGTTTATGATTTGTTAAACCATGATCTGTTGTAAAGTTATATATATGATCTCTGTAACCGTTTTCATGCTTTCTGTTTGCTTGTATTTCTCTGTGTGTATCTCTGCATATTAACTTGATAATAAATATTTGTTTTGCGAACCACGGCATTTTCTATGTTTAACAAAAACTTATGGACAAAAGTTGCTGAAATCAGATTTGGGAGAGAAAAGCATTTGATTGGCCGTCTGTGATTACAGATCTCAGTAAACCAACAATAGATGCAGTAGAGTCCCGCAAACACTACTCCAGATATCTCGACATTCTGTATACCTTGACACAACTTTATAGGAACTTTTTTAAGATATCTATAGGCCAAACAGAGCAAATATTACATAGAATACATATTAGTTATGTGTATGTCTTTCCTGTTCTGTTCAAAGATGTGAGTGTTCTTTTTCTGTAACTTTTGCCGTTTTTGCATTGTGCCATTAACTTTTGGAACTACCTAACAAATTTCGAGAAATGTTGTAATACTTGGCAACGCTTTTTACTTCTTTTGAGGATACAAAGAAAGTCAGGTGGACGCTGTTTGTCTGACTGCATCTTATTGCAAACTAAACTCACACTAGTTCATTATGGGTGTTGTTCGTGTTTATTTAACAAATGAGGCTCCACCAGTAGCTGAGTGATTAAGACAGCTGAATGCTGGTAGTTCCATTTAGATTCAACACCTGATGAATGGGCTGGCTGCATGGCTGATTTTCATAGTTTGTTTCTCACGTGTAATGTGAATATGAGCCAATTTCCCTTAGCATATCCTTCACAAATCCATGTAGGCTTTACATATCCAAGTAACCGTACTTGTATGATAAATAATCGTAAAATTACTTCAGTGCCGATTTCTGCATCATATCTGAGACAATCATAGAATTTTTAATTGTTTGTGTTTTTTAGAAAATGGGATTTTATTCTTTCCCAAAATGGTTTTCTCTCCCTTTGGTGCATTTCCCTTTCCTTCCTTATAGGCTTTTGTTTCTTTTGCAAGGCCTCCCCTTTCTCATTATATTTCTATTTTTATTAAAATTTTAAAATTTATTTATAGGTAATAGAACTGATTGGAACGGATAATGTGAAGCTTACTTCTAAGCAAATAGATGAAATTATTGAATTGCTTTCAAAGGAAGATATGCTGGAGCTTGAGGAAAAGATACAAAAGCAAAAGCAAGCAGAAGAAAATGTGTCTTCTAACAGCCAAACACAAGAAAGAACTTAATTTTACAATTTAAATAAGAGTGTCCATTATTACTAAAGTTATATGTGCACATTATGAAAAATGATAACTTTGGGCAGGGGTATTTATTAAAGCACAGTCAGTGACCATTATGTGTAGTATATAAAGCATTTTAATATTTATCTGGCATTTTGTATATATTTGTCAAATACTGTCATAATAGCAGCAAACATGTAATTTGTTATATTTTTATAGTGGCAAACCATCTTCTTAAGGATTTAATGTACATTCATGAAGTGGAAGATGTAGATTTATAATTCAGCCATCAGTATGTAATGTTTTGCGCAATGTATGTTATATATGTACAAATCATTCTTTTTTGTAAATTTGAGAAAGTGAAATAAATAGTATTGTGTGTGTAGTATGCATATTTTTTATATATAAAGGGTGCTAGTTTCGCATATGTTTATTATGTATTTTAGTCTAGTTCCTTATCTGTACTTTTATCATCAAGATATTTTTCTCTGTTAATTCTGCATTTGGTGTGTACATGTGTTGTACAATTAGATGCACCCACCTATTAAAATGTATCCAGAATAAGTAAAATAATTTTTGTGCTACTACTGCCAAAACAAACAGCAACAATTAATGTTCAACCAGTGAAAAGTGTTACTCTGAAAATCAACACACAGTGTTGCAAACTTCCATTTGATATCACTGGGGCATGCCTGTCACCCACACGCCTACTCTGAGGTTAATGGGAGACTCAGAACTTTATCAATTATTCTTAGTTCAAAGTTTTGGGGCTTTCCTCATTAGCAGCTCCTCCAGAAAGCATTTTCTTGCTAGACATGAGATGTTATCAAATGTTGTCATCCCTAAGAAAATTTTTCATGCCATCTGTGCACATTTTCAGATTGCCATATATTGGTCTTTCATTTTTATTTGTATACCGGTGCATTATACATATATTTGTATTTCTTAATATTTTTATCTATATTTTATGGTAGTAAGGTATTTTTTAATGTAATCTAATATCTCATTCATAAGTTTTATGATTATTTGCACCACTAGTTGAATTAATGACTCTCTGTGATCCTTACATTAGCTCAAATACAAAAAAGTCATAATGCCTGTTAATAACGAGCTCACTCCCTTTTTTTAAGTGAGTTATTGATGACTTCCTTTTTTCCCCCTTACTCCCATCATTTAACATTTGATCTTCCTCTCTGATCTCTATGGATTCTTATAAAGACTTGAAAAATGTTAAATTAAAACTATATAGCAGTTACCATGAACAGAGAGAAAGATGTATGCTTTCTTCTAGTTTGTCAATTCCCAATCCTTTTCATGCATTGACCCCTTAACTGCCGCGGGCGTATATATACGCCTTGCTCAGCCGATGCGATAACTGCCCCAGGTGCGCAGCCGATGCGTTAACTTTGCGAATAATTTTAGGTGTAGCTGCGCAAAGCAAATGATAGCAGTTTGGAAGGACGTATATATACGCCTGGAGCAGTTAACGCACCGGCTGAGCAAGGCATATATATACGCCCGCGGCAGTTAAGGGGTTAAAAGAATTGTTTTATTCATTAACCCCCTTACATTTTTATCTAAAATATACAGTATATAACATAATTATAATACAAATAATTTAAAGATTAAGAATATGAACAAAAGTTTGGGAACAAATGTGAGTATTAGATTTATGTTTTATTATTTTTGTATTACTTTTAATTTTACATATATAAATAAATTTTCAGGGACTGGCGTATAGATTCTAATTGCATGAAAGTTTGATTTAAATTAATGTGATGGTTGCATTAGATGTACGGCTGCAATTTTTTTTAATATTTGGCCTAAAACTGTTCAACTTGTATCTTAAATCACAACTCATGTTATAGCTTTATATCAATAAACAACTATATTATTTGTGTAATCAATGTGATTTTGATTATGCTGATGTATTGCTGGTACATATTTGGTTATCCAACTCTTGAGCATCATTGACCCCCGCTAAAATTTCCTCCTCCCCAATGGATCAGTACCCACCCTGTCGGGAATCCCTGTTCCAATTAAAAATAGATTCTTGTACTGTAATATGAAAATGTACATGCAGAATAATGCTGTACATAAAATGACATAGTACATTTCTTACAGCTGTCTGTTTTTGCTGCTCATGTTTGAATTGGATATCTGTGCATTGGTGCAAAGATTTGTTGGATGTGACTAAGTAAAAATATTTTAACAACTTGAAATAAATAGCAAATGAAGTTTATAATGATGTTTCCAGGAAATTGAAACAAAATGTTGAGTGAATACCTGAATTGTAGATGTAAATGAGCTTGTTTTCAAAGGGATCCTGATTGTTGGCAATAAGAATGTAAGTACCTTAAAATCCATGATCCATGATTTCAAACTTGAACACATGTTTGAAAATAGCATTATTTACAGGTACTGCAGAATGAGACATAAATTTAGAAGATTTGTGCATGGCTGGATTCAGTCAGTACCCTTTAAAATCTTAAATATCGGTCTATATCTGTGTTTTGGAAAATACATACATAACATGGGAAGAATATGGCTTTTTAGTGATGTAATAAAATGTGCTCTACCATTTCCAGGCAGCATCTGAATCTTTCTTAAGTGAATTGATGTGATAGTACATTGTTGAAAGTATACTTTTGGCTTGACATTGGAAACAAAATACCTGGGTGGAATTTATATATGTGCTATTTTTTCCCTACTTAGTGCAGCTTCTGAAAAGAAGCTAAAATGCATGTATTTCTTTGTATTCAATGCATATGAGTTATGTCTGAAAACATTCTGTGTTATTTGTCCTAAAGAACTTTTTGTTAATTCAGTGTAATATGTATACATCTAAATTATTGATATATGTATTTAAATGTTTATTTTTCAGTTTTGCAGATTATAATGGTCACAGAGCTACAGAATTAGAGTTTTTATTTAACAGTCCTTAAACTAAAAATAGGAAAACTTTATATATTGATAAATTAATGCAGAAACTATAAATCCAGAAGTATGTAATGAAAGTAATAAATATTTTATTTTAAAACAATTACTTTATATTATCATCTAAATATTTACATTTATTTTTGTTAAATATTTTTTTATCATTGCTAAAATACTTGCTGCTCTGTATTCTAAGTATTTTTTGTCAATTGTGACAAATTATTCCAAGTACTTGGTGTGATTATTTCAATCTATATTGTTAACATACTTTTTTATACTAAACATTGTTTATGGAATTTTTCTGACAAGAAATTTATTGATGTATCATTTGATGTCAAAATATAATTTTTACTAATTAGTATACTTACTTGACTATAATAAATTACATTTGTTGTGCAAACTGAATGATTTAAATGAATGGTGTGATATGCCTGCTACATTAATTTAAGTGAGAAAACAACTTCTGCTATGACAAGTACTACTGTTGTTGTTTCTTATGCTCACTTTTCTGATGTAGTCAGCTCAAGCCCACAAAATTGCTTGTGGCAAGGAATGCTAGATTACGCCTGTCGTTGGCAACAACCTTGAGCACCTAACAGGTGACAGTGCGATTTGGCTCAGTTCCACCCCCAATTTTGATTTAGAGCACCCTGGGGAGATGGGTCCAAGGGTCTCCCACCCCTCTTCCCTTCCACCAAACCACACAAAGCATATTTACAAACATCCGTGCCTTTTCCGGGATTCGAACCCGGGCTCTTCGGCACAGCAGTCAGTAACACTATACCGGTTGGGTGGCTGGAAGTACTACTGATACATAGGAAAGTAAGTGAACTTTTTCTTCATGACTGGAAGTACTCTTTTGTTTATATTTAATTTCATAAGGTTATCTTGCTTTCACTAGGAGAGAAATTGATAAATTTCCATGCTTATTTGCAAAATATTTTCTGGGGCTGTTGCTAATGGGTAATGCCATTTTTTTTAGTCCAGAGGGCATTAGCCCAGAAGAGGTATTGATTTCATTTTGGCGTTTTGCGGTGATACACGATAAAGGTCAGCTCACTTTTCAAGTATTACAGCCATGTATTATATTTAAAGAAATTAAATAATAAATGTATGTATATTTCTCCCATTGAGATGAAACAATGGTATCTACAGCGATCAAATTTTGAATACGGTATGTTTACACCCAAATATGTGCATTGGAAGCCCAAATTTGGAATTTGTTTTATTATCTATCTCATATTTTGTAAAACCTTAACATATTTTTTATTAACAAACTCAACATGAGCAATGGGAACACTGTACGGGGAAAAAATCATTTTTTGTCTCCAGCACGCGAGACTGTGTATTGGAAATTTTAGAGATATGTTCATATTAAAATTATTTTGTGATATTGCTGTCAAAATTAATTTTATGGTTAAAGTACAAAGAATATGATATTTAACCATTTGACTGCTACGCGGCACAAAAGCGCTGTGTTCATTTGTCTCGAAACACTATTATTGCGCTACGAATTTCAATGTGTCTCTGTTGCTCCGTGGGTGTGAACGTAGTCTGACCTCACGCATTCTTTGTAACACGAGTGCATTCTAAAATAACTAACTGCGGCACGGTTTTTGAGACAAATGAACGCAGTGCTTTTGCACAGCACAGCAGTCAAACAGTTAATAAATAAAGGTCACATGCAAAATGTTAAAAAAAAATACAACTTTGGGCATAATGTAAAATCTGAAAACTTTCAAGATGATTCCCTCGTGTAGATGATATTATTGGAAAATCAAATATCTTACGTTTGAATTCAAGAATTGTTATTCAAGGTATTTCCTTAAGCTAAGCATGAAGAATTGTTGAAAATTACTGTTAAAATGAAATTGTGTTATATCAGAGCTGAAAAAAATTTCAAACATATAAATATTTTTCTGTGAATTTATTTAACTTGTCTCTTCTTAAATGCATTGGAGTTTATAAAAAATATTAATGTATGTAAGAAGTAGCCTACTCTTCAAAAGTGTTTAAAAATTGCAGATGATTAAAAAAGTACACATACTTCAATGATGGCTACTGTGACCGAAGTACGTTTATATAAGAGAAAATACCGTTACAGTGATTGTTAATATGAACATACATATTAATCATCATTGTACTGATATTATCGCTTCCTCATCTCCTTACTCTTTTACATACCTGTAATAGGTGGAAACCTCTTGCACGTGTTACAAATTTGCGTTTCCAGTAAGTAAATGGTATTAATCTCTATTTTTCCATCCTCTCTTTGATGCTCTGAATTTCAAACTTTTTTTTTTTTTTTTTACAAAAAACTTATTTTTACTATGAGGCTGAACACGTACTTACTTTTCTTTCATAAAATAATTGTGAAATCAAGTATTTTGAATCAGCTATCTTCACCTGATGTGATCCTTGTGAAGTATTACCGGTATTTAAGGTAAT